ACCCTTAGGGTTGCTAGTCTCAGAAGAAATTGAAAGCACGCCGTGTAAGATTTTCATCATTAATTGTGCAATGAAATCCAACAAAGCAATCTATTCAATTCGATGTGGGCTTAGTTGTTCTCTGTTCGTATGGCACGATGCAGAACCAGCTTATCGAGAACGATATTAGAACGCCTTATAAATAAGTTTGTATACTCTTTCTTGCACATATAAGGGATAAAACATTACAGTTTATGGTCAATTACTAAAAGGACTAGATAACCTGGTAACATTCCTGTTTTTATACTAGGCGCTTCTTCGCTTGCCCTCATTTTGCATATTGGCTCAATCAACGGCAAGGAGAAGTGAATGAGAAATTACAGAATCTGCACACTGAAGCCCTGTGCCAAGCTGATCTGAAGGCTTGGACTGAGCAGACAAAGCGGAGCGAAGTTGAACTGGTGGATATGATGATACGGATCAACCTTAAATTGGTAAGGACTAAGTCAGGTAATTAAATTTATGCCATGAAGAACCTTTTATCGGGTTAGTTCAACGCGGGTAGCACCAAAGCTGTTCATACAGCTTTCTTTTGTAGAAAGTCGCCTTAAAGTCAACATTTTACTTGGGAAACTGACACAGTACGTTACCACAAGTTTATGAGAAATTGAGTTCCAGGATCTGGGATGGTCTATTCATTCCTCGGGTCTGATTGAGATTATAACAATACCCGATCCCAGCAGAAAGGTGGAAGACCAATGGGAAGACAATATAGAGGGTAAGTGAAGAAATGAGAATAAGAATAAGCGGATATCAAGTGAGGCAGAGTCAATGTTGCTCATGGCCATATGCGGACCAGCGAGATAAATGGGACGCTCACCACCTCGCTAGCGTACCGTGATAAATGTTAATCGCAAATATCTCACCATAAAGAAGCACGAAATATTCATTACCTATCCTTAGAGGCTGCGGAGATTAGTATTAGTGGGTCTCGACAATGGATTGGCTGATTGCAGAATCACATCTGGAGGTCTGAACGACTGACGTGACGCCGAAAGGCAAGTCTTATAGAGACGCCACGCCCTGCTTCTATCTGGAAATGATAATGTGCAAATCTAGTAATTGAACATTGATCAGATGTAAGATATATGCAAGGGTAAAGAGATAGGAGTGAATTTAAGATGCTGTGGTGTCAGTCAAACCACTGGTTTTATTTTGAAATACCTCATTGAATAGTTTTCAGTTAGGATCCAATAAATGACAGGCATGCATTGGCTGTCAGATCAAATAGAACCTGCGTTGCATGCAGAGGCTAGTAAAGTATGACAATCGGGCGTTAAGTCAGATATCACTTAAGATTAGTAAAGACACTAAGTAGTTTTATTAAATTAAAAAGACCTTAGCTAATCAAATTATACAAATCAATTTTCAGGAAAGATGGAAATCAAAAAATATCGAACTGACGGAGAAGCAGATAAAAGCGCTGAAAGAACAAATCGCATCCCTGATGGACGCCTTTCCAGACGACCTGCGATGCGGAGTTAAACAAAGTACTTCTGGAACTGGAGCAGCCTTCAGCACCGCAGTAGAGAAGTAGATGCTTGCTTAATAACTTCCAGCACATACCTGTATGGCTACCGATGTACATAAACCCAGAGATGTCTTTCAGAATCGCTGTTGGATTATTACAAGCATACGTTCTAATAAAATTAATTTTGCACAATTTCGCACAAATCCTATATTCGGGGCAACAAATTAGAATAAATAACTCCAATGGAGGTCCTATATAGAGCGACCTGTTAGTGGAGTGCAGTCCGCAAGGAATATTTACTAGGATAAACTAATCAAAAATAGAGAGAACTTACGATGGGAACACTTATAGCGAAATGGATGAGCGACCAATAGATAAAATAAACCTGAGTTAAACATAGAAGTATTCATAAAGATAAAAATAATTGTTGATAAATATGCAATGCCTATTTAAAGCGGACAACCTCCAAAGGTTAGGCATAAAACTGAGGCCGTTAATAAAATTATTTATAGCACACTAATTACCAACAATAATGCTATTAATTGGAACAAAAATCAGTTTTATAATGAACCCCAGTACGCCCATAGCGAGAAATCCAACTGCGGTTGCGATGGCATTCTTTTTGAACTCTATAAGATAGAAGTGGTCAAAGTCAAATTATCAAATATGAGGCATCACGTGAATGAGATTAAGAGCGAATTTATGTATGAAAGCAAGTGTAATAAACGTGCCTTTTCTGTCCGGTTTGGTGCATCTATTAAAAAAATGAATAGAATCTTTCGAGA